ACTTGTTGTTATAAGTGGATACATTTGACTGAAATTTGGTATTTGGATATTGGGACAATACAAGCAACATATATTGTAATGAGTTGATATATTGGATATAGTATTTCATTAAATAATTGTTTTGTTCTACATTAGCACGTTTAATCCTTGAATAACTTGGTTATTCTAAATGTCTATAGTCAGTCGTAGTTGTGTGAACTTCTATGAGGTAAGACTAATATGAATGGATTGGTTGATTTTCAAGGAGATTAAAATGCAAATAGATGCGACCAAATTCATAGGTACTTCATTAGAGAATAAGTATTGGACCTGACCCGCATCAAAATCACTTTATGGATCATAGTTACGAGTGAGGTTTGATTAAGGAAGTATCTTTGTATTCTTCGACCTGAGTTAAATATTTGGGATTTGAGTGTAGGAATTGTTGTGTTTTGACATGGTTTAACGTTGTTCCATAAAAGACAGTTATAAGGGTCGTCGTTGAGTATAACATGAACTACATGATGGATGTATGTAGTCAAGATAGGATTTGTTACTCTTATTCATTGAGAGTTAGACATCTAAGGTCTTACTGAAAGTCAGACACTATATGAGACTGAGCGTGATCCATATCTCATGTTCAACACGATGTCCGAGACAAAGGAATAATTGATACCATACCTTTAGTAACAATTATATCTTTGAGCTCCTGAAATTGGTTGTTGATGATATGGTACCCTTCTTATGTTGTTAGGTGTAGTAGCCCATTGCTAGACGCCAACTACTGTCTATGCGAATCTGTAATGAATCTTGTGCAAGTGGGAGATTGTTGGAACTATATGCTCAATAATCATTGTTGAATGATGTTACTAATAAAAATATGATCATATAGGGTCACACCTTTATCAATTTGGCACATTTTGAATATTAATTATTAACATGATTATTAATAAATAATTAGCTCTTGTATTTTATTATGGAATAATTATTGTTTTTGTGAAAATAATAATTAAAGAGGGTAAAACTAGTTATTATATCATATAGTATGATTTAATAAGTCAGTACAATGTTTTGGACAATTTGGTTAATTTGAGACTTACTAGTAACTTACATTTATTTAGTTAGAGTAACTATATAATAAATTTGTCATCTTCTTCCTTAATCCAATGAATGGAAATTGTCTAGAAACATGGGAGGTTGTGTGTCAACATCTCTTCCATCTTTTGGTCCCCATGCTTCTAAAGTCTAGCTATTACTTTATATTATTTTCTTGTGTAGCTTTTTACTTGCATGAGAGTATATAAAGAGGAGCTGTTCTTGCAAAAGACAAGTCTTTTTCTCTCTCTTGGTTTTATCTCTCTAAAACGATATCTATCTCTATATATCCCTCTTGATTTTCTTTTGAAGACTACTTGCAAAAGTTGGTGATTTACAGTGTTTTTCCTTTAGTGCTTATTTGAGATAATCACTTGTAGGCTTAAGAAATTACTTTATACAAGATGGGAACTAGCATTGCAAGTTCCTTATTCTTGATGGTGGATACATTGTAGAGAAACTCTATTCTTGAGTTTTTTCTATCTTCATCAACTCCCTAATTCTAAGTGGGATCAAAGGCTTCAAAGGTTATCTCTTTAACTTCCTATAGTTGTTATTATCTTTCTAATTCATGTATTTGGATTCTCTTGGTGATTTTCTTAAAATGATCTAAAAATAAACTAGTTATTTTATAAGTCTTAGGGATGCCTTTAAAATTGTTTTTATAAAAACATTTCATTTTTAGTTATCAAAACCCACAATCTCTTGGTGCACATTCAGGTCATGTTGAGGGCATATTCGAAGCAATCCCTTGTATCGTTCCCATGCCTCATATAGCAAATTTCCATCGAGTTGTTGGAAGTTTTGGATATTTTTCTTTAGCTTGGATATCTTCGAAGGAGGGATGAATTGTTGAATAAGTTCAGTTCGTAAGTTGGCCCATGGCGTGATGACTCCAGGTGGAAGTGATTGAAGCCAATCCTTAGCTGCTCCTTTAAATTTCACTGGAAGCATCCCTAGTAATACTGCATTGCATGAAACATTTGGCATGTTGAAGTATTTAGCAATATCCAACACCTCATAAATATGCTTATAGGAGTCCTCGTGGTCTTTCCTGTAAAATGGAACATCTTTTTAGCATAGAGAGGTGCCCCTTAAGCTCAATGTTCATTGCTTTCGGAATCTTGGGTGGCACAAGACCCGACGCGTTGTCATTTCGCATCCGCTTGTGTACTCCTCCATGGTCATTCTGGCTATGTCCCCATGTCATCAGCTTCACTTTTTTTCACTTTCTTCTTCTGATTCGGGTTCGGGTTCGTATCCGCTCTCATTCTCATTCGGTTTCCTTTTAAAATGAGAGATCACGTATTTCTTCGTTTTGTCCTCTTCTACTTTCTTCTTATCCTCTTTCTTGTGAAATGCGGATTCCAGATTGTCAAAACCAGCAACTAACTTGGATGAAGATCCTCGAGTCATGTATCACTAAAACAAACAAAGAAAACACACATAAAACGAATAAAAATGAGAAAAATAAAACCACTAGAACAGTTCCCACGAAGTTGACAGAAGAGTCCACGACGTGACTATTTTTAAAATAGAAATAGAAAATTAACTTAAACAAAAACAGAAAATTAACTTCCTATGGAATTAAACTCCACGAAAAGATCGATAACAAACAGTAGACAAAATTAGCTAAAATAAAACCGTTCATCGGCAACAACGTCGAAAACTTGTTACGTATTTTATATACTAGTTTTTAATTTATAAACCAAACAAATCTTAACAAACTAAAACGCAATAGGCAATGTACCTAATCGAGCAATAGAATAGTTAAGGTAAGTCGAGTGTTGAACAAAAGGGAACGGTAATGATTAAAAGCCAAAAATATCTACTAAAGTTAACTAATTTAAAGAAATTAAATAGGGGGTTGTTCTAATTTTTCAAGTTTAGAAAACTTAATTAATAGCAATGAACAAAAGTAATTTAAACTTAAGCAGAAAAATGGTTTTGAAGATAATATTTATAGAATACTTTCGTGTAGATACGATTCACTTATTATCTATGGTTGATTTTATGGATAGTGCAATGGATTTATGTTTCATGTTTACCGATTCCTATTATGATTACAATTATGTTCAAAGTACTAATCCTTTGACTTAGTGAGATTATTTATTCAGTGATCAAGTGGACAAACAATCAAATAAACCAATATTGAGTTCGAATTATGCAAGACTTGAAATAATGAATGATATTAATTGTAATTAACACCAATTTTATATTTGTATGTTCATCATATATTAGCTATCACATTAATTTACCAACTTGTCTATTTAACCCTAGGTTTTTGATCAAAACACTAGTCCTATAATTTCATAAGTTACAAAATCATAAAATTCAAGCATATTAAGATAGATAGTTTATCTAGTCTTAATAAAATTCAACAATAAACACAAAAGTTGATTATATTAACACAATAGGGTCTTTATCAAACAAGCATAATGAATACGCAACTAACATAAATCCAAAATCATTTAAACCAACACATAGAAGCAAGGATCCTCTACTCTAAACCACAGTTAGGGTTTTTAGCTCATGACTAATGCAAATAAACAGGTAAAAACGAAATATATTTTGCAAGTCATAATGAAAACAAAACAAACCAGTATTTGGAAGTGTTTTTGCCTTAGATCTCTTCAATCAAGCTCTCAAATCGAATTCTGGTATCCAAAGCCTCCTTGTAATGTCTCTGGTCTTCCAAAGTCGAAAGTTGATTGATGCATAAGCTAGGGTAAAGAGCATATATGATCTATATATAGTTTCCAAATAATGTCTCCCATGCTGTGGAGAATAGGTCTCCACGCCGTGACCTCCATTTTTCTTGCGTAATCTCCAAGCCAAAGTTTCGTGATCGCGCATAAACACATCGCTACAGCGTGGCAAGCAAATGCCCATGTCGTGGGAACTTCAGAATCCATAGCTTTTGGCTTTAGTTGACCCGATCCAAATTTCCTGCTTCCAGCTCTGCATTTTGTTTCCTTTTAATTCCGAGCATATCTTCGCTGCTACAAAACAAAATTTAAATATTATAAACATTTTTTGTCCTAAATTAAGGACAAATATAATTAAAAATACTAAAATATTGAACAAAATATATTAATAAATGTAGCACTATCAAAGTGAAATCCTTCTTATTAGAAGAATTTTGCAGTTCTAGCAGCTTAATAAAAATTGCAATGGAATTATGAATCTTAGTTTTGTACAAATACTGAAAACCGATTTTTCTTCTGCTTGATCTTTTTTCAAGGATCCACCTCATTGTGCTTATTGTTGGATTTTCCTTAAAAAATAATGAGTTTACGAAATTTTTATAATTCTATTATATTGAAGGACAAATATGAAAAAACTAATAAAAAACGAGAAAAATAGATTTTCGGCATATTCAAACGTTAACATGGATATTACCTGGTTGCTTGGTTGTTCATATTATTTTGTCTTTTTTTTTACCCATATTCTTTGCTTTTTAGATTCATTCATACTTGGTATATACTTTTTAAAATAACGGTTAATTATATAAAATGCTTTACATATATATATATATATATATATATATATATATATATATATAATATATATATATATATATATATATATATATATCCTCTCCCTAATAAAAAAAATCCTTTTTCTGCCAAGTGGCATCTCTCAATTCATTTTTCATCAAAATTAAATTACTCTTTTACCCTTTATTCTTTTACCTAAATTGCCACAGTGCGTTTTTTTATTTCCAGGTTATATTATATTTTTTAAATTTTAAATAATACCATTTCAAAATTTGAATCTTTCTGTGTTTATGATCGAAATTGAATGCGCTCCCCAAATATCTCGACAATCCCTCTTCACATCCACCTTATCGCCTCATCCATCATCACATCAATCTCATAAAATCAACTAGAAATCAGCAGTAATTCACCAACAAAACTCATATACCGTTTGGTTTCTACGGTGCATGCTACTGATCCTTAAATAGTGGGATTTAACGTTTTGAATTTCGAATTTCCCTTCATCTCTTTTGAAATCACACCGTAGACTACTTTCTCTCTCGATCGTTCTCCTCACGCCTACAACTCAAAACCCTAAACAAGCCCTAAATAAGGTCATGAATTGAGTTTTTGATCAGAGTGAAGGCCATTCATGATTGGATGAAGGCTACGAATATTTGGTATGGATCAGGTTTCTTTATATTTGGCTGTATTTTGTTTATGGTTTTTCTTATTTTTTTTGGTTAGCTTCGGTTTGATGTCTATGTTTCAAATTTTTTTGCTTCTATTTAATGTCATAAATGATTGATTATGTAAGCAAACAATCTGGAAATTACCTTGATCACCGAGGTACAGAAGAAGAATAAAACACATAGAACAGAGGAGAATGGAAGAAGAACAAGAGATGAGATGAATTTACTTTTTGGGAAAATTTCTTTGTTGCTAAGCTTTATTAATAAAAACGGGAATAAACTTCATACTAAAACATTAACCCTACTTATACTAGACATAAAAGAATTCTAAAACAATTTTACAACCTTAAATAGGAAAGACTTCCCAAAAATTCCCAAAATGCCCTTACTACTAAAGTTGGCCCAGAATCTGAATTAAGCTATCAGATTATACGTCCGTCAAAATTCTGCTTGCATCTATATAATAGATGTATTGGTTTTATTTAAGGATTTATTTATTTATTTTTTGGATTTCTCATACATTGTATTGTTTATATGGATCCTTATCAGGAAATCAATAGGTATTGCGAACAGAGGAATAGGTGATACAAACATGGGTTTTGATATCCCAAATTCCCCACTCTCCTATAAGACATCACTTCTCCCTAACTTGGTCTCTATTTTCAGATTTCTTCTCCTCTATCCACCTGGAAAAAACTATGGAAGGTTTGAAGAATTTTATTCTAAGTTACCTGTTGATTGCCATCTCTATAGTTCCTCCTTTCTGGGTAGGGCTCACTAAGTGAGTATATGGTTGCCATCCTCTTGTAAATATACAGATTTTGATCTAAATTTGTTCATTTTTTTGATTTGGGATTTTAGGTTTCTAGAGACATGGTCAAATAAAGCCCTTATATTTTCTCTTGGATTATCTAACTGGTGAAGTTTTGCAGGATAAATCAGAGGTGTAACATCCGATATTGACTTTGATTTTTGTTGGAACACGTGTGGTCTACTGATGCTTCTTTTACATCGTTACAGGTTATTGATCATGGAAGCAAAAATAAAATCTTGCTAACCATGAATTTAACCAATCTCATTTAGATCAAAAGTTCATCTCTAATTATTTGAATATGGGTATTATCTTTTTTAATTGCAAATGCTATCCGGTAATGGACTAACACATACAACTTTTTCTGGAGCCAATAGTGCACATATGTCATTAGCATTAAACACATAGGTCCAGGTTCTTTAAATTCTATAAACCCATTCTATATGTTAGTTTTCCATAATTTGTGTTGTATATTGAGGCCACTGCATATAGTATTTTCCTTTATTTGAATTATGTTGTGTTAAATTGATGGGTCTTAAGAAGGATTGTTTTTGGATATTTCTTCTGTAGAATGTATCATTTTTGGTTCGATTCTTTTCCATTAAAAAGTTTTACTTTTTTTTTCTTAGAAAACTATATTTCCTTTCATAATTCCACCTGGGAGATTATTGTTGTAAATATTGGTAATTCGGAAGGGTTTGAAAATTGTAGTCCGTGTTACTTATTTTTAAAGATTGGAATTCTTTTTGGTGGCACAAAAATGATGGTATATTTCTAAAGTGGATTAGAGTTTAATGTAATCATAAATTTCTGGATTTTGCTTGGAAGATGAAGTTGCTTACGTTTATGGGGAAGAGTAGGTTATTATTTTACAGAAAGAAATTACTTCTTGGTGGGTAGATGCGATTTGGAGTTAGATGGCATAAAGCTTCATGGAAGTCAATGGGTCATTTTTTGTGTTTTGCCAGCAAGAAGCTATTTTCTGGCTTTCTGCACTTCACCTTCTTTGTTCATGTACACATAATTTCTTGTATATCTTACAGTCTTACAACCATATTAGTAGTTAGGCTATTAAAGCAAATCAATGGTACAATAATATTTTGTTTCATTAGAATTACTATTAATATTATGTGATCAAAATTAGATGGAAGTTTTCGTAGTCATTAGGCTAGCAATAGAAAAGTCTAAATCAAATTTATATCTTATTAATTTAATAAAATTTTATAAATATATAATGTTTCATAACTATTTTTAATTATCAATATTTTTTTTTATTACCCGTGATTTCCACGGGTTGTAACCTAGTATATATATATACAGAGAACCAACATAAGTCATAAAACCATAGAACCACCTACAAAAATAAAAATCTATTAATTCTATTTAATTATTATCCAAAATAGTAGGAGATCATTAAAATAAACATTTATGATCATTTATGAACATATGTATATGTTTATTTCTAAACATATATATGTGTTTATACAAAAGCGTAGGTATCTATACATAACTTGTTGCCAAATTAATATTCATAATTGAACATTTATACAAAAACTCATATTTAGTCAAGTTAATACACGTTCACTTATGAACATTTATACAAAAAACATAAATTGAACAAATACACACAAGATTAATGTTCATAACTGAACATTCATATTCGTATATTTTCACAACTGAAAATTCACAAAAAATCATACGTGTTCATACAAAATCATGCGTGTTCATAAATGAACATTTATACAAACTCATACATACTCTCTATTTAACCTTTGTTAAATTTCTAACATTTATACAAAATTACACATGTTCACAACTGAACGTTAATATTCTTATATGTTCATAATTAAATATTTATATAAAATAATACATGTTCATAACTAAAAGGAGGAGGCTTTCTTTAGCTATTTGATCTTGTTATTGTAACCTCTTGACTGTAATTAAAACCTTATCTCCAACCATCCATGATTATTACACCTGAAACATGAGATAACAAACAACAATGTTAAAATTTCAACAAATGATGACTCTATTACGAAATTTCAGTATGTATTCACTTGTGAACATATGTTCATGAATGAACAAATGTCCACGAATGAACAATATTCAATACATATTCACATGTGAACATATGTCCATGAATGAACAAAAATTAATCCCCAATGCAGGTTCTAAAACATGAATAAAAAAGATAAACAATAATAGACACTTTTCACCGGTAGATATCACAGGTACATAACTTTAGGCTCAACGTACTAAAAAACAAAATCCAACTTGAAATCATATGTTACTACTTTATTTATCAGATTACTACAGATGAAGGGACACCACAAACAACGTAGAGTGGAAGTGTCGATTTGAAGAATATGCAAGGTTGTATGTGTCTGATCTTGTCTTCGGGATTGGGGAAGAAGCCACAGTCACCGGCGGTGGGGTTAGGGTTGGATCGTAGTCGATGAAAATAGAAGCGTCAGAGTTCAATCGTTGCAGAGAGACAGCCATTTAGTGTGGACATCGGCGAGGAGATGGGTGAGAGGGGAGGTCATTTTCTAGATTTAGAGGAATAAATTGAAAAAGGGGGGCTAAATCGGTCCACCATCGATGGATTAGGGAGGAAGAAAATAGAAGATACAATCGATTTATATGATTAATAAATGAGATTTATAGAAGAAGCAATCGTCAATTTGAAGTGCTGGTGTGGAGGCGTCATTTTGAGTAAGCGTTTATTCAGAAATCGTGATTTATATGATTAATAAATGAGATTAATCTATTTCCATAATATATATATATATATATATATATATATATATATATATATATATATATATATCTATATATATATATATATATATATGGAACGGCAAATCTATTATACTCCTAAACTATTTTCCTAAATCCACCTATGTCCGTAACAAGACTTGAACCCTCGACCTCAAGTAGGGAGGACAACACCGAATACCGCTAGTCCAGAAACCCTTTGGTAATTTATATTATGTGATTCAGTGTATTTAGGGTGCATAATTTTACTATGCACCATTTTAATCTAAATCGCTCATTGAATAATCCTATGGTTATAAATATGGTTATGTGGTTCTATGAGTTTACAGTGGTTCTACATTGATCATTCCAGTGTGTGTGTATATATATATATATATATATATATATATATATATATATATATATATATATATATATATATTCTCTATTAACTCGGAAGATTTTTTGCATTCGTTTACATAGCTCCATGGTAGATGCTTCTAGCTTCATGACAATTTAATACTAAATCTTGAGACATAGTATTGTAAATCATTTCTTGATGATTACATCATTTCTCTTCCACATGGTCTACATGACGTGTTGAAGTAAATTGCATGCGAGCATAATGATCTGGAAAAGTTCAAACCAAGATGCATAAGGATCATCAGTTTGATCTTTATACATCATGGGTTGAACTTTTGTAGATAAATGGTTGTCGACTCCTAATCAAAATAACAAATCCAACAAGAATAACTTTCACTCTTCCTTCAGAAACTAATGTCGATAACCCTTGATTAAACTAATGATTTTTATGCATCTTGGTTAAACTTCTTAAGATCATTGCATGCGCCTACAATGTTCTTGACCACATCAATGAAGCCACACCACCATCGATAAAGCCACATGGAAGAGAATTGATGTAGTCGTCAAGCAATTAATTTACAATACCATTTCCCTAGATTTTCTCTAAACTGTCATGAAGTTGAGAGCATCTTCCATTGAATTATGGAAATGAATGTAAAAAATCTTCCAAGATAACAAAGATATTCTTTTAGAAAAATACAACAAAGTTAAGGTTTAATTCCAAAAAATGGAAAAATGTAAGGAAACATCGAAAAATAAATAAATTATAAGGGATGAACCGGAAAAATGAGAAATATAGGAGCAAAATCGCATACAATGTAAGGACTTTTTTCAGAAGAAAAAAAAATAAACTCTAGATTTATTTCCAAAAAACACTCAATAGATAAGGTTTTTTCTGTAATTATCCCAATAAAAAGAAGTCACAATATTTAACTTAAAAGGGTTCTATATGCTCTGCATTTTATTTTTATTTTTTTGTAAAGATGATTAACATTATATATTTGAAACGTTTAAACCAATGTACTTAACTAGAAATTATTTTTATTATTTAATTTATTTAATTTATATATTTCTTTAAATAATTAAGTAGACATACCTCCATCCTCCAAAACATAATTATCTATAGGTTTTCTAACCGATCCAATCATGATATCATTAAAATCACATGAATCTCAATGCCACTTACCTGTATCGTCACTTAAGATTACTGGTAGAGATGTTGGAAAAGAGTCTTGAGTTCACCCGCACGAATATTTTGCCGCCAGCTCTAAAACAAAACACCCGTTCTCCAATGGTCTTTAAAAATGATATTTTTTTCTCTTTCTAAGGAAAAAAGATGGAGAATATGTTGAGCAACAAGGATTCATGTCACAACTAGCAAATTAGGGTTAAAATGTTGACCCTTTTACAAGATAATCTCCTTGTGTAATCTTGCAACACTTCATTTAGTGAAATTCAAACTTCAATGCTATTAAGTTCATACTTTCGTACATTGTCATTCAAGTCGAAACAACCACGTATAAGCCCAAAACTTGATCCAATAAGCCAAATCCAATCACTTTTGGGCCTTAGCCCAAGAATTGTTGGTCCAAATCCCTTAATGGACCAAGACTTCCTTATCGGGCCCTATTGGGCCGATAACTTCTCCTTTTGGTTTTGTTGGGCCGAAAACCCTTCTTTGGACTCTAGTTTGGGCTCGAAAACTTTTATTTAGCATTAGTGGGCCGAAAACCACTAATGGGCCTCCCACTGGGCCGAAAGTTTTTAAATTGGTTTTTCTTTGGGCCGAAACTTCTCAATTGGACCAAAAACTTTCCATTGAATATTAGTGGGCCGAGAACCCTTATTGGGCCAAGTCAACAACCGAACACCCCTATTTGGGCCAAAAATTGGGCCAAGAACCTCCTTGGTTCGGTTGGCCTATATATATATATATATATATATATATATATATATATATATATATATATATATATATAGATAAGGGGAATAAGGGTGGTTAATGTTGCATGCCACCTCAATATAACCTAGCATGTAACAAGGTTTTGTCCAACAAGTCTCCATACACTTCCCATCAACTTTAGAGGAGGGCAAGTTTTGAAACTATTCAAAACCTTTCATTTCTATAACTTATGAGTTTTAATGATTTTAA